ACTCGTAACGAAAGGGGAGGGTGTTGGCCTTTGGTGTTGGTTCACTTGCTCTTTGGCTAAGTTGAAGAGAAGGTCCCTTCCGATTTTCGGATGCACCAGAAAGAAGTTGGGAAATGGCCGCGATTACCCCAAATCGGATCAGGAAAACCAAGAGGTTCTTTCCCACTTCATCAGGTTGCCAGAGGCTGAAGCCAAAGCTCCCCAAGCAAAGGGATCCCTCCGAGCAAAGCCATAGAACTTGGCACGTCCGATCAACGAGAGTTCAGTCTTTGTGCTTTAGAAGGCTCTTGGCTCTTTGGGGTTTCCAAGCTGCAAGGTTTCAAACACCTGTCCGACGGGCCCGTTAAGGCTCCAAGCTCGGCTTTTTCACACCCGCGGACGGGGACCCACTTTTTCCCGCGGAACAGCAGACCGCCCTGGGGAACGAGCCTTCCAGCGGAGGCGTCGTTTGAAGTGGTTGGAGCGGCAGGAGGCGGGCTTAAACAAGGCGCCCAACGTGGCTCGGCGAGCTGAAGCTGGTTGGGCAGGTTTGGGCTATCGGGGCACATGTTCTGAATCGGAGCAGATGCAGACTTTTCTGGCTTGAATGATGATTCAGATTCACAAAAGTAGTTCGTTGACCCTGTGATGCCCACGTTTCTAGTAATGATTAGTCAATTTGCTTTCAATGCCAATCTTGGGACAATGGAAATGCAGTCAGTGTTGCCTGGGAACTCGAGGGCAGAGGGCATGCCCTTCCAAGGACAAGCACCACAACAAGATCGAGTTCTACGGAAAGCATCCGGACCAGCAGAAGGTCTGGCCCACCAACAAGGGGAGTCTTCACATCAGATGGCCTAGCCCGTACCACTTACACTGAGACGAATCCGTTTCACACCGCTTGATTGGAGAAAAATGCCGGCGCAGGTGGAATGTGCGAGGTTCCATGTCTGGTGGAAGGTCTTTTGATTCGATGTTCAAGTTGTGACAAAGAGCCTTCTTCACATGATCCGAGCTGAACTTGTTGAGATTCGCGCTGATTGCTCCATGTTCAGTGCTGTCCACACCCTGACCGAATCCAGAAGAAGTTTGTCAGCCTCACCCAGGGGTGAGATTCTTTCATACCAGCCTCCCAATTCGATGAGGATCATGCCTTTTTGTCATGCCAGTAACGGTCCCATAGATCTTCTGGAGAATGGTGCAGGTGCTCGGCTCAAAGCATTTCCGGTGCTAAGACATTCTTAGGACCACTTGCGTGATGACCAGTTGGGGAATGATGGGTCGGATCTTTGTGAAACCCTTGGGGCAGACACACGGCCATAACGCCAAGCTGTACATCAACTTCTATTCGATTTTTGCACTTTTCCGATATTTTTTTTTGCACTTGGTTGACTGTGCTGATGTGCTCATTATTTTTGTGTTTGTGTTTGTGAGACTTTCCTTTCAAGACGGGGGGGTTGAGAATTTGGGATCAGCTAGCAGCAAGACATGCAAGCAACACGGGTGCCCACACACATCAGAACCCAACAGTTGTAGGTGCCTATCAGAAACGGACTTGCGATCCGTGTAGTCCTCGAGGGCGGACGTGAGATCGTTGTACTGCTGTTCCGAAGAAGCAGGGGCTGTAGGCTGGAAACAGTTGACGACCAGTACGGTTCCGGCCTGGTTTTGCAACTAGATAAGAACATGACGCGCTTAGATTGTGAACATCAAAAACCATTATTTGAGGGATCAATCTGCAACATCAACAATTTGCCTGCGTCAGTAATATCAAACTATGGTTTGGTGCCCCTTTTCCTGAAGCACTTTTTGTGGAGAAAATCTGCCAAAGTCATTGCAGCAGGTTTAGAAGTCTTAAACCGAAAGTCTCAAATGAGAAAAAATGCAAAAGCATAGAAGTCATCTAGGCCACGGCCCAATGGATGGCCATCCCCTATTAACAATTAGAAGCGTATTTCAAACGCATAAACGACAAGCAATGAATGGCGCCAATGCCTGAGGTCGATGCTGCTAGAAGTATCATTAAAGAGGATACGTCTGATTTTTGGCCAACATGTTCCGTGGCAAAACTCCTAGTGTGAGGACACTTACTCTACTGTCGACGATACATTCAACCTTGCAGTCGCCAAACACAGGTAAATCTGTGACCATCCGAATCCGATTGGGGGGGGGCTGAAGCCTGGGCTGAAGGGAATTTTAAACCGGATCATTCAGGATTTGGAATTCTTCTTGGAGTCCATTGTTTCAGGGCGAATCAGATCGAATTTCAGCTCTTTCACCTTTTGCCAGTGTTTTTTTGCCTGATGCCACATAGTTTTCAAGATTCCGCAAACGGAGTTCGTTTCAACACTTGATTCATGCTCTACCCAGAATTAGATATTGCGACAGAATCAGACTCCCACTGAAAGCAGCGATCATGAAATGCAAGCGTTCAGCACTGTGAGGCTCCAAATTCTCATCACGGGCATAACAAGGATTTGGCCTTGAACAGTCTCTCTTCATTGTTAGGGTCAAGACCTCTACAAAAGACTTTAAACATGTGGAATTTCCGGAATGCACGTTGCCCTCATGAAGGTCTCATACCTGTTTAGACAAAGATGGCAAGATCGCATCAAAGCCAAGAAACGGAGGCTTGCACATCATGGTTCAGCCACAGCATGACACCCTTGATCTTTTGACAGTCATGATTTGGCATATGACCGAATCGGTTCTGGACCTAAGACCCTGGCCCCCCCCGTACGCCCCCGTACGCCCCGCACGACCTTGGTGGCCATCTCTCCCTATCCGCGACGCGACGCCATGAGCCCAGAACCGAGCGAGGGAGGTCAAAGCACCTCCCAACGAGCTCTGGCTCGAGCAGCGACCACGAAAGCATGGCTGGAGGTGGCGAGCGGTAAGGAATGGGACAAACCGGCTGCGGAAACCGCTGTGGAAACCATGGGTCTCCATGGGTTGCCGTTGTTTTGTTGATGTTGTTTGCTTAGATTTTTTACTTTTTTTCCCCAAGCCTATGGATGGTGAGTGTCAGGGTGTCAAGTTTGACTTCGAGTGGTGGGACATCAGCGACATCAAGTGCCTTCTTGATCTGCTTGACGGGGAAGTGAGTGAGTTCGGGAGTACGTAATCCTACAGGAAGATTCACCCCACTTAATCCGTGATGTGCACGTAGCAATCCTGTTAAGACAAGATTTTAGAGGTGTTTTGTTCATGAAAAACATGGTATGCTCATTGGTTCACCATGGGGATTTGCACCACCACCGCCAGGTTCTTCCGTTCCCTCGTCCTTCGGTCGCGAGGCGCACGACGTGGGTCCGGGCTCGCCGGTGGCACTGGTCACGGACGAGCGGTTGCTGCTGCATGCGGGGCCGAGCAACCATCCGGAGCGGCCTGCGAGGTTGGCAGAGATCCTGAAGCAATTGGAGGTGAGGGCGGGGCTGGACGTGGTGTGGATGTGTCAGCTGGATGGCAGCTTAAAGGCCATCGTTTTTTTTTCCGGCGGGTACAAGAAACTTCTAAAAGAAGGATATCCTAAATGTTGAGACAATGGTGGACGTGATCTGATTTCGACCACCGGAGACCACCCTGGTTTCAGGAGTGTTGATTGTAGATGATAAGGGTCTGTAGGTGACTGTGGGTGGGTTGGTCATCAAGTGAGTTCGATGTATCATAATCGGACTTGATGGGATTTGATGGGTTTGGTGAGCAGTGCAGCAGTGAATGACCCATAGAGAAATGAAGATTCTTGTACCTTTGCAGGCATTCTGGAGGTCTGTTTTGCTTCTTGTCACCCTGGCCCTGACCCGTGGTTGTGGGGCAGAGAACCAAACATTGAACAAGTTGTTTGCCCGTCAGATGTCCGTGCCAAGAGCTTGCCCTTAGGACCTTAGGAGGGACACCTGTTTGGGGCATGAACATCATCCAATATGGGTGTGTTTTGGAACAGCAAGGCCCCTTTAAGGAGCCCATACCTTGATGAATTGAGGAGGCATGCGTCCCTGTTTGGTTTCCACGCCCCCTACGCACGCATCCAACGAATGTTCTGCGGCCTTCAGATTTCTGGGCTGTCAGCGGCCTGTGTGCAGCTGAGCTCGAGAGAGGCCACGCAGGAGGAACTGCTGAGAGTGCACAGTCAAGAACATATTGATCAGGTGGGATTTGACGGGGAAGGGCCTAAGGGGTAGGGGTGGTCGTTTCAAGGCAACCTGCCCGGATGGGACATCAACATGGAAGCAGCAATAGTTGACACCAGTAACAAGTGCATCGCTACTCGTCACAGGGGCATCAGCTACGAACGTAGTAGCAAGAAGCTACGAACGTAGTGATGCTCGAACGTAACGAGTTGTTTGGACCGATCCTCCAGAGGTTCAGACGGTTGTCGAGCGCTCAGACGAACGTGCAGGTCTTCAACTCGGCATCGAGTAAGAAGAAAGGCAAGGCCTATGGCACGCAGCTCGCCTCAAAAGTGGCTCCGGAAAAGGGAGTTTCCGGGATCTCAGTGACTTCTCTCTCCAAGGAGCAACTGGACGGTGTACTTTTTTCTCCAAATGGCTCAGTCCAGGCCCTTTGGCCCCGACACCTACGCCAATGACGAGACGCCGCTGTGCGCCTCCTTATCCACCGGGTGCCTCCTGTCGCTGGTGGACAAATGCCTTGAGAAAGGCGATGGCCCGCGATGTGGCTTTGCGGCCATCCGGCCACCAGGAGGGATCCGCTGACAACGGCCAAGCTAATAACGCGCTTCTAGAAAAAAAGGAACACACAAATATCACACGTGCTTCTTGTAAAATACGTTGTTCTTAGGTTTTGAATGAAAAGCAACACCAGGACTTTCCATCTTCATTTCAGCCTTCCACTGACCGCCGATTCCGGGTTCCGATCGGATCCTTACTAGAGTGTATAAGCACAGCCAGCCACTTCTCTTTGTTTAGAACATGATTGTCAGCTAGTAACTGCTGTCTTTGTTTTGGGAGGTGCAGTAAGTGACTCTGCAGTTGGCCATCATCATGGACCTGCTTCAATTTTTGGTCTCATAAGCTCAGCCATGCAACATGTCCATGCTCTTTGTGCAGGCCACCATGCCACGGTGGACAAGGCCTCTGGCTTCTGTATGTTCAACAATGTGGCCGTGGCTGTGCGCCAAGCGCAACAGGTGCACGGGCTGAAACGTGTGGCCGTAGTGGACTGGGACGTGCACCATGGGAATGGCACCAACGACATCTTTGAGAAGGATGAGTCGGTGCTCTTCTTTAGCCTGCATCGCTATGCGACCCGGTCTCCATTGTCGGCAGACAGCACAGCGTGAGGGTCTCGGTGGTGAACCCTTTGTCCACTGGTTAGACAGGGCTACTCTTTGGAAGGGACCTTATCATCTTTTTGCATGGTTTTGCAGTTGCAGGTAGGTAGAATGTAAAGTTTACAAGGACGTTTGCCAAACCTTCGTGCATCACTGGCATCATGATGTTTCTTAATTGATGACAGCTCCTTTCCAACTTGCTTAAGGATGCAACATCTTTCGACATGAGATTCGACATGAGATTCATATCAGGCCTTCAATAAGGGAGACCCCAAACTTGGTGATCTGAAACACCTACAAACACTTGCTACTAGGAACAAGAAGCTACTAGTAGCTTCTGGCATCGCTACGACCTGCGCGAAGCTTCCCCGCGGGGGCCAAGAGCGCCCGAGGATAGTTACTTCTTCCCTGGCACCGGCTTCGTCGAGGACGTGGGCAAGGCAGAGGGACGGGGATACAACGTCAACTGCCCGCTGGACAAAGGCTTCGGCGACTTGGACGTGGCGCATGTGATGCGATCCTTGGCAGAGTGGCGCATGTGGTGCATGTGGTAACATTTTGCCGCAGAGATATGGTTCAATGAGTTCAATTGTTAATGTATAGAGATGTATACAGTATATAGACTCTTGATTCCTCTTCACCCCCCAATATGAAGAGGCTTGTTCACTCGGATTTAATTAATCTAGAGTCTACATGGATCTACTTTTTCTGTGAGGATACTTGATCTGCCCGCTGATGGAGAAGTTCGAGCCGGAGGCCATTTTCATCTCCGCCGGCTTCGACGCGGTGCCTGGGATCCGGCAAAAAGGTGGGAAGAGGTCGGACGGGCCGGATGGGCCAGCTATCTCCAACGGAGCGAGTGGAGATACTTAGCCAGGTGTGGAGCATTCGTTTATTGAAATCCCTGTTCTGGGTGGTTCTGTGTGACCCGTAAGGTGGAAGGAAAGGGTGAGTTCATGCTCGCAGGGATGCCGAATCAATCACTGAACACACACTAGTCACCGAATCAGTGCACCGGTGCCGAGTCACCGGTCGAGTCACCCAGGTGCGCGGCGACCCCTTGGGCGAATGCCGGGTGTCTCCGGAAGGCTTCGGCTGGTGCGGGCCCCCGACAGCTTACTCGGGTTCGATGGGTTCCTTGTGACTTAACTCGCGATGGCCTCCCAAAATGGCCTGGAACATGTTTTTTTCACCGAGCTGATCGAGTTCTTGCTACTATGATGTACGAAAATTGGAAGAACATGGTTGTCTACAAGATGTTTCAACAGCCATGAAACTCACGCGTTTTGCTCTTTTGGGCATTGATCCCTGGGCTTTTGTCTTGGTTGGAGGGTCCTGGCAAGACATGGCATCCAGCTTTTGGCGCCATCCACGCCACATGACTTCTGACGCCACGCTGGACGAGGACCCTTGGATTTCGGAGGTCAGAAGTGTCAGAGTGGTCAGAGATTCGAAGGTCCCTCTGCCCTTCGGTGGGTGTGACACACCGGGTGTGACCGTAGAATGCTCCCCAAACGGAGCGATCTAAACGCTGTGGAATTCATTCTGGTTGGTGCCAAACTGTGAGTTGATGGTGACCGTCAAGTCGAAGCAACAGTTCTAGTGGCCCAGGCTCACACGGGGCCTCTACCGCCTTGCAAAGCACTACTGCGAGGAGGGGGCGATCAGCGAGTTGGTGTGGAGCATGGTGACTAAGTCTACTTGAATGGGAGTGATTTTTTCTACTTGTTGTGGCTGATCCTGGCTGTGATTCTTTTGGTGGCGGTGAGCGCATGTCTGATATCGACTGCCGATATCGCCAGGGTCGGCTCTTCCTCGCCCTGGAGGGTGGATACAGCCCGGACCTCATCGCGTGTGGGGCCCAGAACCACAGTGAGTGGATGGGAGGGTGGTGGACATGTTTGAACATCTTCCACACCAAGCTCTTGGAGAAGATCCCACAGTTTCTTTTTGGGCCGATTCACCACCAAGAATAGTTTTGAAGGGGGGGTGCAAAGTTTGTACTCGTTCAAGTTTTGCCTGAGGGTTTTGGTTGTTGGCGACTTCTTCACCGGGTGGTGAGAAGGACGTTTTCAAAAGGATGAATTTGCCAACACTTTCCAAAAGGATGTTTTTGCAGACCAGACAAAGGCATGACAAGGCCCCCACATGCTTGAAGAGCCACCTAAGGGTGCCACTTGCAACCTGAGGCAATGCACCGTGGAGTGGGGGTGGCCCAGCAGGGAGGCACCGATGTCTTCGAATCGACTGAAGGAGGATGCCTCCATGCAATTGGATGTCTCCACCAGAGCCAAGCGATGGCCTCCAACCTAATAGCGGTTGAAGTCGACTTCATCCACAGCCTAAGGGCATGGAACCTCGTGAAAAGGATCCCTCGAGGAAAAGCAGAGAGCTCGCATCGCTGGAGCTTTGCCGCCCCGAGGTGTGTGCGCACGCTGTTGGCGGAAGTGCATGGCCTGGCAGGACAGCGAAACGGTGTTGGGAAGAGAATTCTGGAGCATTTTGGAGACCTTTACTTCGTTTTTGATACTGTTTCCAATTAGTGTTGCTTCAGGTAGTTGTACAGGTGTGGTTTGCTGTTTCTGGCAGTTTCAACTCTTTACCCGCACCCTCTTTTGGTCGACCAGTCGCTCACAGCGACTACTCCTTCGATTTCATCCTAACTATCAAAGACCAAGTAGACTTAGTAGACTACTCCTCCTTCGACTACTCCTAACTATTTCATCCTAACTACTCCTTCGACTACTGCACGTGGTGGTCCTTAAAGGGTTTTCAAGTCGACCAAATCGACAAGTCGAGTAGAGCGTGGGCTTCTCTAAGCGCTTCTCCTGATCCGCTCCGTTTCCGGTCCTTTTCTGATCAGATCCGGGCCGAGAACCATCAGTTCGGTTGATCCATGCGGATTACCTATGGAGACGTTTGAAGACGGTGTGTTCGACTTCTGGCAGGGCGAAACAAACACGGGACCCCGCGTGGTGCTTTGTTTGAAGTTCGAAAGAGATCGATGACTCCGGCTCGTCTGCGGACATGTTGGATGAGGTGTCTTTCCTTCTCTTTTTTTCCACCACCAGGGTTTTCCTGTTGGGGTTTTCGGAAAAAAACTCCGCACACCATGAAGGGGTCCATCCTGGTATACATGTAATTATATGTATACATTAAAAAAGAGCTACTAGGGGCTCCTGGCATCGCTACTACTGTAGGAGCAAGGACGCTACGAATGGGGCTCCTGGCCATACTACTAGGAGCAAGAAGCTACTAGGAAAAAAGGGCATCGCTACTACTACTACTACTACTCCTGCTGCTACTACTACTACTACTACCACTACTACCACCACTACTACTACTACTACTACTCCTACTCCTACTCCTACTCCTGCTACTCCTGCTTCTACTACTCCTCCTGCTACTCCTACTACTACTCCTGCTACTACTACTACTCCTACTACTCCTGCTACTACTACTACTACTTCTACTACTTCTACTACTCCTACTACTCTACTACTCTACTACTCTACTACTCTACTACTACACTACTACTACTACTACCACCACTACTACTACTACTCCTACTACTCCTACTCCTACTCCTACTCCTGCTACTCCTGCTTCTACTACTCCTCCACTCCTGCTACTCCTGCTTCTACTCCTCCTCCTGCTACTCCTCCTGCTACTCCTGCTACTACTACTACTACTACTACTCCTGCTACTACTACTACTACTTCTACTACTACTACTACTACTTCTGCTACTTCTGCTACTTCTACTACTTCTACTACTTCTACTACTCTACTACTCTACTACTCTACTACCTACTACTGTACTACTCTACTACTCTACTACTCTACTACTCTACTACTACTACTACTAC